TCACATTGCGTCAAGTGTTGGAGCACCGCCATGTTTATTGGCGACCCACCGTTGTCGTGTTTCTTGACATAAAAGGTGCCTTCGACTCAGTCGATCGATGTGCCCTTTGGGACTGTCTGTTGAGGAAAGGTGTGCCTGATAAATATGTAAACATTATCAAAGCGCTGTACGCACATAGTTCGGGCAGGGTGAGGGTTTATGGCAAACTCTCGCCACCCTTCAGTATCATCAGCGGTGTGAGACAAGGATGCCCGCTGTCACCTTTCCTCTTCAACTTCGCTATTGATGAAGTCATGGAAACAGCGTTCGCTGGACACGACCTAGAAGGTGTGGAGCTACTCCCTGGTGAGCGACTTCTTGACTTGGAGTATGCGGACGATATTGCCCTAATCTGTGACAGCTCCCAAACATGCCAAACTGCACTGAACCGATTAGCATTGGCTGTCAGTCGTTTTGGGCTATGCTTTGCTCCATCAAAATGCAAAGTACTTCTCCAAAATTGGCAGGGACCCAACCCTGCGCTAACGCTTGCTGGTGATCTGCTAGAAGTCGTTCAGGAATTCAAGTACCTGGGCAGCTATATTAGCACCCGTGGGATTGAAGATGAGGTTACGAACCGTATAGCAAAAGCTAGAGGTGCTTTTGCCAATCTCCGCCACCTGTGGCGCAGACGCGACATTACTCTCGCCCTCAAGGGCAGAGTTTACAACGCAGCCGTCCGTTCAACTCTCCTATATGGCTGTGAAACCTGGCCCATCAGGTCGACAGACATGAAGAGACTCGTCACGTTCGATCATCGCTGCCTTCGCAGCTTAGCTCATGTTTGGTGGGAACACCGCGTGAGCAATGAGCGTGTTCGGCGTCGCGTATTTGGTGCAGGAAGAGCGAGTGAACCGCTCAGCACGATTATATCACGCACCAGGCTCCGATGGCTGGGCCACGTGTTGCGCATGCCAGCACACCGACTCCCACGACGTGCATTGTTTGCGCGTTGTGGGTGCGGTTGGAAGAGGAGGAGGGGAGGCCAAGTGATGACTTGGTCGCGAGAAATGAAAACCCTCACTTCGAAGTTGGCGTCGGTTGGTGCATCCCGACTGCCTGGCTGGGGTCCTAAGGACGGTGAACACGTTTGGCTGGACACACTTGCTGATATGGCTAGGAGCCGGCCCCAATGGCGTTTGTGTTGTGAGTTCCTTTGTCCATCCCCCTCCTGTTTAGCATCCCCCTCCAATCACGATCTCAATCGTTAGGCATAATATGACTTTCTTTTGCGGCAGCCAGCTGTTAGCTCTCCGGAACGATGTCCATCCGTTACTGGGGACTCAGCGGGCGTGCCACTGTTCGTTTGTTTTTTCTTTTCTTGCCTTTTGTATTGCGGGCAGGCGGACCGGCCACAGGGGGGGAGCGCCGGCAGAGGGGCCCCGCGTGCGGGACCCCGCCTGGGGGGGACGTCCCGCTGCGCGTCGCCGGGATGGGCGGGTGGCGGCAAGGGCCGGCGAAGCGGGCGCGGGGGGCTGAGGCGGGGGCAGGGCGGCACGAGGGGGCGGCGGGGGCAGGCAGGCAGGGAGGGGCCGGGACCCGGAGTAGGGCGCGGCACTGGATGGGGGGGGGCGCGGGAAGGCGGGCACCGGCATAGGGGGGGGCGGGGCGGGCATACGGCGGCGGCAGGGTGCCGGGGCGGGAGGGCACTGCCACAACAGGCGGCTGGGGCGGGCCGGGCTGGCGGGAGGGCAGGGGGGGCACTCGGCAGGGAGGGCGGCGAGGGCCGGGGGGCGCGGGGGGGGGGCGGCGGCAGTCAACGGCAGGCGAGGGCGGGCGCGGCGCGGGCCCGGCGGGCACCCTGGCCTTGGCCGGCGGGGCATGGCGGCGGAGGGGGTCCGGACGGGCGGGGCCGGCCGGGCGGCGTGGCGGCCGGGCGGCCGCGGATCGTGGCAGGGGGGGCGGCATGGGCGGCGGCCGATGGGGGGGAGGCAGGCCGGGCACCAAGGACGGGGGCTGGCCACAGGGACGGCAGGCCGCGGGGGCCGGGGATCGGGCACAGGGGGCACAGGGGTGGGGCCGAGCGGCCGGCGGGGGGGGGCCAGGCAAATACTGAGGTGTTTTTCCACCTCCAGCTAACGGGGTAAGATGAGATGATGGATGGTTATTAATTGTCCAACCTACGTGTTAGACTTTCGCTTTTTCTCGCCATTCCGAATTAAACCCCGCGAAATTTCTAGCCCAGCCGAAGAAAAATCAAAACTCCAACGACCATGACCACTAAAACCGTGTTAGCAAAGACGCTGCCAAAGTAGCCAAAAATGCTGCTAAAACGCTGTACCACTATACCAGACCCACGTCAACTATATACGGGGCTCAATGGCCATCGGCTTCAAGAAAACGTAGGTCAACCGGTAAAATTAGCAACCACCCTGTCCCAACTCCGTATGCTGGCGACCATGTGAAGGAATGGCAGGTTCCGGAACCTTCGAAGTCAATGCACGATCGAAGATAATCCATTACTTGCTGAAATAATGCTTTTTCTCGATGTTTTTACCTTTTTCCGGATATCTTCCCTCATGAAACGGCTCCCGCAGTGTATGCTGCTAGCTTGGGATTGACCTGAAACCTCCTGGAAGGGGTTCATCGCCTATCGGCTCATCGCCTTGGCTGTAGTGTTCCGGATTCAAATTCCATGCATTGCGGTCCGGCATCATTCGTCTGATGACAGGATTCTTCTGTTGGCTCTTGAGGGCAAGTTGAAGCCGTGTCAACAAGTTAAATAAAAGCTCGGCGGTTACTGCTACTCGTGGCTGACACATTGTTGGTCGCAGTTGGTTTGTATGGCGTACCCATACCTAGGTTCCAAGCAGCACATCGTAAAGGACGCTCCCGGGATTGCCCTAGATCGTGCCTCACGCTCACTTTATGTGTCCATCACGACAACCACGTACAAGTACTGGCTGAACCGGTTTATACGTACGCCTCTTAGAACAATACCGCCGAGTAGTCACGTTTCATCTTGAGGTCCAATTTACCAGCTGTAGACTTTGAGGCCGTCCGAACTGCATCAAATGGCATGCGTAGTTTTTTCTTCAAAATTGCCTATGCTGGTGATATTCCACCCAGCGTTTGTGGATTTTGTGTACATCGGTACAGAAAGAGGAAGCAGTCGATCTCCTCTATGTCACCCTCCATCCTTGCTTTGAGGAGAGCGCGTTTGAATGTATCCACAAACCTCTCCACTTAGCCATTTGATTGTGGGTGGAATGGTGGAGACCGCACGTGTTTGATGGCGCAGCGTTGGCAGAACTCGGTAAATGTGGCCAAAGTAAAGTGTGCCCCATTGTGCGTCACCAAGCTTTCAGGGCAGCCGAACCGGCTGAAGATTTGTCACAACCTCGAGACCGTTGCGCTGGTTTTCGGGTTACGCATAAGGGACACTTCGGGTTACTTCCAATAGGCGTCGAACACCATGGGGAAGTTCCGACCAATGATTGAGTCTGCAAAGTCGACATGAACACGGTTCTAAGGTTTAGCTTGTTTAGACTACGAGTGGAGTTAAATAAATGACTAAATGTGTATATTTCTAGACTAGGTGGAGGTTGCACCCATAAGGTTCAGATCTATCTTTATAGTAACCCAATGCTCTTGATTGCAAGCAAGTAAATTGGGAGTATATGTCCGCTCTTGGCAATTACAAATGCATTGGCATTGTTTGGTGTACAGCTGATGGGGTCGTAGGAACCCACCTTGAAATACTGGTTACTTCGGGAGATATTTTGCTACTTGATTGTGTTGATCCGAACGTTCTTTTCGTGGTCTTGACGGGCGGCATCTTTAACGAGGCTGATTCTCGCTTTCGTTTCGCCCTCCATCTGGAATACTTGCGTCCAGGCTTGTCCGCCTGCCTCGTCCGGGACAAAATGGCAGCTAGAGGGGGCATTTTTAACGAGTGGGGACTAGGTTGAGTCGCAGGGACAGGTTAATACGGGGACGGACGCTAACCCCGAAGCGTCTACTATGGTTTTGGGAATGCATTCAATGCACAGTACCGAAAGGCTTAGAGGAGACCTAATCCTAATCCTATACCGATTATCCATGACTAGGATGAAGGTTGGCGTCCAGAATATTGTCTTGGCTATTCAGTCCCGCTAATTGTCTGTTCTACGCGGTCATTCGTTGAAGCTGGACAAACCGCGGTCCGATCGGATTTAGGGCGGAAATCCGGCTGTCACGCGAGTTAGTCTGACCGCTGGAACATGCTTCCGGACAAGTGTTATCAGGGAATCTACGGTTAAGGGGTTTGAGCGGCAACTTGACGCTCTTGGGTGGCAACACGAAACCTTTCCATTTTCCTGAGTAACTCGCATCTTCGTACTTCGATTTCCTTTTCTCTACTTTTCTTCACGTATTGGCATTATTTTCTTATTTAAGTGCACTTCCCTATTCTGTACCTTCGATTTCTCTTCCTATCCTTTGCTTACTTCACGTGATTGCCACAGCAGGGACTGCTAGGGCAGGAAACGTGGGCATTAACTGGTTGGCCAGGGTGCGATACGGGTGTTTCCGTTTTAGATCCATCAATAAGTGAGCACTTCATCAATTCCTGGCTCAACGATCCACTCAAGATGGAACACTCACGGGATTCTCCTATCGTTCCAGTCCCCATCTGAACTGAACTGAACGCATAAGGGACACTTCGGGCCACTTCCAATAGGCGTCGAACACCATGAGAAAGTTCCGACCTATGATTGAGCCTGCAAAGTCGACCATGAACAAGGTTCCAAGGTTTAGTTTGTTTAGACTACGGAGTGGAGTAAATAAATGACTAAATGGGTATCTTTCTAGACACCTGGGTGGCAGGTTGCACGCCATAAGGTTCCGATCTTATCTTATAGATAACACCAAATGCTTCTTGATTGGGACAGCAAGTAAATTGTGAGTATATGTCCACTCTTGGAAATTACAAATGCATTGGCATTGTTTGGTGTGCAGCTGATGGGGTCGTAGGAGCCCACCTTGAAATACTGGTTACTTCGGGCGATATTTTGCTACTTGATTGTGTTGCTGTGAAAGTTGTGCAGAGCCGTAGTTGTGCAGATATCCTTTGGAACAAAATCCATATCACCACAACTTTATTTAAATTCATTGGACTATTTTGGCCTACTCAGTCACTACAATAATTGGTGCGCACACAGAAAATATGAGTGGAGTGTCCTATCCGCCACTTGGAAATAATGTTTTTTCGGCAGTGTGATTGCGGTACACACGACTGTAGGATAGTGGATTCTCCTGTGCCTTGGACAATTTACCATGCATTCTTCCACTTCCTTCTTTTTTCCGATACATTCAGTAGACTTCCAGAAACGCTTTTTATATTCTGTTTCGTTTTTAACTACCTAGTGTTATATTTCAGCTTTTTCACTTTTATACGACTTCGCAATTAGGCACGATACAGATCATTTTTTTGGATTTTTGGATGTACTAGGCCTTTAACAACACATTTGGCAAGTACAACCACAATGAACCCTTGGTTTTTTGAGAACGCAGAAACAGGTTGTCCGGATGAACAGGAAGTGGTTAATTTTGAAACATGAAAAATTTGGCCATGGAGGGACGTTGTGTTAGCCGTACACAGGCTACAATGGTGATGCTTTTTGGATCATTGGATAATTCATTGTATAATAGAGAGCAGAAGGCAGTTCCTTTGTCAGCTCCGTCACTTCCCGATCGTTTTCGACGAGTAGCCTGCGTCATTGCGGAGCAAGATCCCACAAAGAAGCACTGAAGCTGCATTGGAAACAGCTGGATCCCCGTAAACTAAAGTGAGAGTCCAATAAATGCTTGAAACGTTCCTCGGTCTCGGCAACGACGATGGACTCCGGAAGGCGGTTCCAGTCATTCACAAAGCGAGTGGATAAAGCCAGGCTGGATCGCACTCGATCACTCCTCGGTTTGAACAGTTTCATACTGTGGCCACTTGTTGAACTCTGTGTTGAGATAAGAATTCCCGTAATTCCCTCCCCAACTATCCTCTAAGAATACGTCGGGTGAAGCTCAAGTCTCCTCGATGACGACGGTAATCCAGGGGAAATAGGTTGTTGTTTGAGTCGGAGAGAATAGGACAGGTCCCGCAGCTCAGGAACAGATTTGGAATCACGCCGTTGAACCTTTTCAGTCATATCACATTCAAATTTCGTAAGAGGGTAGGTGGCAGGTAGCGCCTATTCCAGAAGCGGGCGTACATGTGAAGTAAACAGGAGTCGGAAGATCCCCGGGCTCAGGCGAGAAAAGGCTCTGCGTATAGAGTGAAACATCCTGTAGACCGCAGCGACCTTTTTCTTGGTATCTTCATTAGATTTGAGGTCAGACGAAAGTATCAATCCCAAATCCCTCTCCTGAGTGGCGTTTCTGAGCAAAGAACCACCAATATGGTAGATTCCAAATGGGACAGACGCACCAACTGGAAGAACTGAACACTTCTCATGATTCATTGGCAACTGCCACTTAATTAACCAATCCTGTAGGAGGTGGAGTGTCGATTGCAACCTGTCAGCATCTTCCAAACTGGATACCTCCATCCACAGCTTCAGGTCGTCGGCGTAGATTAGGCAATCCGCCTGGAGTGTAGACGATAAGTCATTGAGGATGACGTTGAAAAGCACGGGGCCGAGGGCAGAATCTTGTGGGACTCCACTAGTCATGAGAACAGGGGCGGAAAATGTATCGTTTACTTGCACCTGCATCGTGCGGTGGCGAAGGAAATCAGAGATCCAAGAGAGAAGATTCCCGGCAATACCGATTCTTCGGAGTTTAAGCAAAAGTCGTTCCTGGGGGACCCTGTCGAAAGCTTTGCTGAAATCCACAAACACAACGTCTAAACGTTTGCCAGAATCTAGCGATTTCACCCATTTCTCCTTAGCAACTAGTAAGTTAAAGGTACATGAGCGTGCCCTTCGAAAACCATGCTGCGCATCAAGAGCAAAGAGATTAGTTCCTCCTAGGTGAGACGATGAAAGGATCCTGCTTCACAGAGATCCGCTCTATAACTTTACGATAAGTATCGACGTTAAAGGCAGATAGGACGATAGTTACGGCTTCGGATCTAGTCTGTTCCCTCCTTTGTGAAATGGGTTTTACAATGCCACTTTCCAAGCCGACGGGAGACGCCCAGCTTCAAAGAAAGACGGAAAACCTGCAGATAGGAGGGGCGATGTAGCTGCGCCACAGTCCCTAAGGAACAGGGGGTGCAAGCCATCCGGGCCGCGGTGAAGAATGCGATCTAATCCAAGGAGAAGTTTAACTCACAGAATTGATGTTAAGGTCTACTTGATCCAATGATAAGAAAACTGGACACAGTGTTTGTCGCAGGGCGGGAGATTCTTTCGGCGAAGACAGAGGCGTACTGCTGGGCCAAAAGACTGGCTTTTATCAGCGTCTTCGTAAAGTAAATTTCGATGTTCAAAGGAACACTAGGGTGGGATGCCACTGCCAGCCCTGGTACTTCTTTTCAGATAAGAGAAAAGCATTTTGGGTGTCGTTCTGGAATGTGCTGCTAATGATAGTTCATATTGCTGACGTTTCTGTCGCTTCAACGCGACACACATT